CAGCTACTACGGATGCTGAGGTAGGAGAATTGCTTGAACCTGGGAGGCAGAGGTTACAGTGAGCTGAGATGGCACCATTGCACTCTAGCTCTAGTCTGGGCAACAGAGTGAGACTTTGGAAAAAAAAAAAAAAAAAGCCAGCCTCTTTGAGTGACGGCAAGTGTAATGGCTCTGAGGATGCCCCCCAGCTCCAGCTGCTGTCACACCTTCTGGTGCCTTTAGCTCCCAGTGTGCCTATGTATTGTGTGTGACCTACGTCTGGTCCAGGGCCTCGGGCTTCAGCTGGAGCTGTGCTCACCGGACCACACTCTCTCATGGCCTCAATCTTGAGGTAGGATCAAAGGTCCAAGCTCATTCTGCTTCTCTGCTTCCACCGTCTTTCCCAGATTCGGGGTTTTAATCGTCTTCTCACAGAATGCTGTTGTGGCTTTGCTCCTGGCACACCCTCCCCGGTGCAGCTTTCTTTACTAGTTTCTGCCAGATCGGCACCTCCTGCATCTGGGGGAAGCTGGATCTCCAGCTGCACGGAATCATGTCATCCGTGACCTGCAAAGTGGTTGCTGCTCTTTGGAGAACTTTCTTTTGCAATTAATAGTGTTCTCCTAGTATACAAGCAGTTAGAAAAGAAACGGTAACTGCTAAAAGTCAGGGAGGATTCATTAAGAAAAGTTACCGCAAACTTACCTGGCTTCCCTTCTGATGACATGCTTTAGGCCTAATGCATTTTTATTTCTGCCAAGCATTTTGAAAGTCTCTTTTGTTGGACTTGTGAACAAAGCGGAGAGGTGGGGTAAAAAGAGAGTTTAAACATGCAGATTCACAGGCGGTTAATCAACCCTGCACACAGAATATGGAGCAATTGATTAGAGGGGGGTCTCTGGTTAAACTGTATAGACCCATCCTTATGTCTGTTCTATTCTGCTTTTTACTCCCTTTTATGAAGACTCTAAAGGCAAACTTTCTGCATCCCCAGGCATGGGCAGAAGCCCTTGAGTGACGAAATCTGGATTGGAAAAGTTTTAATAGGCTACCAAAAAATGGGCCGAATGGAAGCAAGTGAAATTGAACAGATAAAAAATGAGAAGTTTCCCATTTAGGTTCAAACAATCAATCGCCGGAGCACGAGTATGGGAGGGGGGACACTTGATGTGATAGCAGGTCCTTATTTTAAATCCCTAAGGTTTTGGTAATCTGTACATGAAGTCCTAACTAAAGATGTGGTGCTTCTTGCAAGGAAGAGATGTAAAAACAGAAATTTAAAAAGTAAAGACGCCATACAGCTGCTAAGAGAACTAACGTCAGCTTCGATTGTATGAATGCAAGTGTGGGGTAAAGATGGCGGTGGGGCTGGACCCACTGTCACGGTGCCCATCAGACAGAGCAGCCCTGGAGCCTAAGGAAGCTGGGTTGCTGCGCTGAGCTGGTCAGGGATCCTGCAGTCATTTCATGAGTGACACTTGAGCTGCAGCAGGAAGCAGGCACCGCTACATCCCCAAGAGTCACTGTAGCCCCTGACGCAGACAAGGTGCTGGCTGCGTTTCTGGGAAGAACAAAGGCATGAATGATCAGAGGGGTCAGGAGACTTTGACTATTTAAAAGAGGGAACCGGGCCCAACAGTGGCAGTGGCCCAGAATATCATTGGTCCTCTGAACCCCCTTTCAATGGGCCCACCCATGAGCCGTCTCTGAAAGCCTATTCCTAGGAATCCACTATGAGCAGTTTGCACATCTTAGAGTGGAAAGAGACGTCTACTCCCCGTTCAAATCCCTTCTCTACCATTTCTGTGTGAACAGGCAACGACTTCACTTCTTAACTGCCAAATGAAAGGTTTGCTGTGAGGATTAAAAGAAACGGCACATGCAGGAACCCAGCACTTAATAAAGGATCAGAAAATGTGCAGAATGAGTGAGTTTCCGCTGACCCCTCTCATGCACCCCGATTCCCCGCTCAGCGTCACTGTTGACAAACGTCCCTTGGTCCACCAAGTTCTTTTCCTCCTTCAGGTGCTGAGCCTTCCTTCCCTATCCCATCAGGAAGCCTCCCTGGCCACTCCTCGCCTCTTCTGCTTCCCTAGATCACTTACTGTCCGTTCTCACCTCATTCCCCAGCTCACCTGAAGGACCAGAGGACATCTGCCAGGACGGGCCCTCCAGGTCTGGGCTCACTGCCTCCCAGGACAACATCTCAGTGCTGTGAACTGGCCTGGGGCAGTGTGGAGTGAGGAGCAGCCCCCTCCCCGGGGACTCTGGAGACCTGGACACTAGCCCTGGCTGCTCCAGAACTAGGCAATTCCTGTCCCCTCCCTGGGCCTCATGGAAGCTTCTCCAGACTACCCCTCGTACGTGGTAATTCTCTGAAGTACTGGGACTCACGGCACTGTCAGTGACTACGAGGTAAAGACGGGGATCCCAAGCAGAAGGGGCCACCTATGTGGCAGCCATTTTTACCTTCCAAGGAAGACGCAGGTCCCTGGGGACAATGACATGCTCTCCCTACGAGGATAATTGTCCCAGTGTTTCCTCTCCTGGTGAGGACACTCAGGTCTGTAGCCTCCTTCTGGATGCACTGATGTCCCATCTCAGACAGATGCCCTCTGAGGCTTCTTGACCCTCTTGTTTCCTTACAAGTAGAAGCACCCTGGCTGGAGTCTCTAATCCCCGGAGACCTTGAGGAGCTCCCTTTCCTCTCTGAGCCTCATTTTCTCCGTGTATACAATGAAAGGATTGAGTTAGATGAGTTCTGAGGCCCCTATCAGCAATAATGTCAAAGTCATTTATCCTAGGGGGGGCCCACCCCCAATAATCCAGGCAGAACTATCAAAACAGGACCTGGAGTTAGTAAACAAAGCTTATTAAATGGAACTCTCAAATAATTATTCTCCCAATCTCAATCAAGAAACCCAAATAATCTGGCTTCTCAATTTGCTCCAGCAATTTCCTTGCATTTCTGCTGTTGATTAGTTCGGGTAGCCAGTTAATGGAGGCTGGCACACCAAAGCCATTCATTCCGTTTTCTTACAGGCAGGCTCCATTTTGGAAATCAGAACCAGGAGATAATGGCTTTTGAAGTATCGCCAACAGGGGTGGAGGGAGGTCCTCACACAGTGTCATCACTGCCTGGGATCTCACAAGGACGATGACACTGAGGGTAAGAATGAAGAAGGATAGGGAGGGATGTCCCTGGCACCGGGTGCCCAGCCATAACTGGGGATGGAGACGGCTGGATATCTGGTGAGACAGAGCTGGAGGTAGCAGAGCACAAGGGCAAGCTGGCTGGGATCTGAGGCGTCCAGGCACATCTCTTGCAGGGAGACAGAGGGGCCAATAATGGTAATTCACACTTAGGTACTGAGAGCTTGTGCCAGAGGAGGCAGAAATTCTAATTCCAGGGATAAAGTTAACTGGCCACCACAGAGAGCTAGCAGATGTTAGAGGCAGGAGTAAAGGCTCAGGCACCTAGAGGCTCAGAGTACATCCATTCATTCAAGAAATATTCATTAAGGACCTACTATATGCCAAGCACCATTCTAGACTCTGGGGTTAGAGGCTGAAATCAGACAGAAGAGCCCTACCCACGTGGAGCTAATTCTTGTGGAGGAGGCAAGTACAATTAATTATGTAACATAATGGCAGGGAGGAATTGATAAGGGCCATAAAAAATAAGGCAAGAGAAAAGAATGGAGGCCGGGTGCGATGGCTCACGCCTGCAATCCTGGCACTTTGGGAGGCTGATGCAGGTGGATGACCTGTGATGTCTCTACTAAAAATACCAAAATTAGCCGGGCATGGTGGCAGGCACCCGTAATGCCAGCTGAGGCAGGAGAATCGCTTGAACCCGGGGGAGTGGAGGTTGCAGTGAGCCAAGATCGCACCACTTCACTCCAGCCTGGGCAAAAGAGTGAGACTCTGTCTCCAAAAAAAAAGAAAGAAAGGAAGGAAGTGGAGACTGATAGGGTTGCTATTTCAGATAAGAGGGTCAGGGAAGGCTCCTCTGAGGAGGTGACAGGGAGCAAAGACCAGGATGAAGCAGGGAATGAGAGAGGGCCAGAGAGACAGCAGCTGAGTCTGTCTCCAACAGCCACACTCAGTGATTTCTGCTTATGTCTTAACGGCCAGAGCTGGGTCACTTGGCCGCCTCTGCACAGTCACTGGAAGGGAAAAGAGGGTTTTGCTGGGGGTAGCCAGGACACTCTGTGCCCTGGGTCATCTTATTAGAGCCTCCCAGTATGCAGGGTGGCTCTGTGGGGACGTTCGCCCTGGGTCACCTGAAAGGCCTGTTTCTTCTCTGATGAGAAATAGCCACATAGGGAAACAGGAAAATCCAGCTCCAGCTCTAGCTGTGCCACAAACCCGCTGTGTGACCTCAGGCCAGATGCCAGTGGTCTCTGGGCCATGCTGGAGCCATCATGAAACAGCTTTCTGCTTAAAGAGTCTCAAGTTCCAAGTGCCACCCCCTTTCAGCCACTGTGAAGTCTGACATTTAGAGCCACTAAGAACCCAGCTGGGTCTTGGAGGGGCACACAGAATGGGCACCTTCCCGAAAAACACACAAATACTGAGGGGCAACCCGGTGGCAGGTGTGGGGCAGTGGTGGAGTGAGGCCTCACCCCCCAGAAACACAGCTAAGGCTCAGTAATCAAGATACATCCTGTTTTAACGCAGGCTTTTAAAAACTCCAAATCAATGCACAAAATCCATGATGAACAAAATATTAAAACTTTCAGTAAAGACAAGAGCAGGATTACTTACCAACTTTTCCTTTGGTCGAGGCGCCAATATGGCTGTGATGTGTGGCACTGTTGCTGACCTTGTCTTTATTTAAAATTCTGAAATTTTGTTTATTATCCATTAAAAAAACATATCTGCCAGGCGTGGTGACTCATGCCTGTAATCCTAGCACTTTGGGAGGCCAAGGCAGGCGGTTTGACTAAGGTCAGGAGTTCAAGACCAGCCTGGGCAACACAGTGAAACCTCGTCTCTACTAAAATACAAAAAATTACCTGGGCATGGTGGTGCGCACCTGTACTCCCAGTTATTTCGGAGGCTGACGCAGGAGAATTGCTTGAACCTGAGAGGTGAAGGTTGCAGTGAGCCGAGATGGTGCCACTGAACTCCAGCCTGGGTGACAGGGCGAGACTCTGTCTCCAAACAAAACAAAACGAACAAACAAACAAAAATAATCACATTAAAATCTTGTTTGATTACTGAGTATTTGGGTGCCTCTTTAAATTTTACTCCCAATGCAGTTGCCTCACCTGCTTTGCCCTAATCCTGGCCTCCATCCCAGCTGCAGGCCTCCCAGGAAAGCCCCCGGCTGCACACTGGCCAACCTGCCCAGCCAGGCATTTGCCGTGTCTGGGGACATCGGGGGCGCCCAGTGGACATGTGTAATTTTTAGCCCTTTGCCATGAAGTGTTTGGATGAAACGCCATGCTATTTCTTTAAGACGACAACATGCCGTGGCCATTAAAAATTCAGTCCCACAAATTAGTAGCGCCTCTCTAAAGCGCCATATTTATTTAATCATAGTAAATTTGGGCCAAACCCTCTCCCGTGGCTTCCTGCACCTGCCTCCATATCCCTGAGGAGTTCAGCCCCCAGGACAACGCTATTCATGCCAAGTCCCTCTGCCTATGGTTCCCCTAGCCGGCTGGCTCACAGGGAGATAAAACACCTTAGCCTCATTACTCAGATGGCTAATTGCAAACTGATTTAATTAAAGTATACAGATATTTCCCCAAGTTAGTTACATTTCATATCACTCCATTAGGAGTAATTGGCTGGGATGGGGAACTGTGGAGAGGGAGGCGGGCCAGGTGGGCGGGGGGCTGGGAGCTCCCTCAGTTGATGCCAGGCTTGTCGCCCAACTACTGGGGGCCGACTAAAGGCATTCCTGGCACTACAGAGTCACTGAGTGAGACCCACCTCCACTCAGCAGCTTACCGGGGCTGCCCCTGGATCCTTTTAGCCACAAGCGCTAACTGCTCGCAGCCTGGGTTGGGAGCCTGGTTTGAAGCTTGCCTCCGCACCTACCAGCTCTGTGACCTGCAACAGTCACCTACTTTAGCTGCTTCCTCTTTAAATGGGAATTGTGTAACACTCACCTCAAACAGTGTTATGAGATTATATGAAAACAAGCTTCAAAAGCCCTTATCGTAGTACCTGGTGCAGAGTTAATGCTTAACAAAGAATGACGTTATTGTCTGGGGCCAGGTGTGTGGCTACCGAGTGAAGAGGTAAGATGGCGGAAGAAACACCAGTCTCAGAAGCAGCAATGGTGGAGTCTGGGCTCAGATGATGCCCTTGACTTTCGGCAGTCTTGGACAAATTGCTTCCTTCCCTGAGCCTCCGCGTACTCACCTGCAAATTACGGGAAGGAGTCAAGAGACTGTGGTCCGTTCTCCCCCTATCTACGAGTCCCTTCCTTGTTCACACAGCCCTGACTGGGGGCAGCCATGTACAAGCTATAAAACCTACATTTCCCAACCTCCCTTACAGCTACGGGTGCCCGCATGACCAATTTTGGTCAGTGAGGCAAAGGCCAAAGTTGTTCCCTTCCTGCGTGCTTCCTTTTAAGAAGTCTCCTTTAAAAGGAAGCTGATGGCCGGGCGCAGTGGCTTACACCTATCATCCCAGCACTCTGGGAGGCTGAGGCAGGTGGATCACCTGAGGTCGGGAGTTCAAGACCAGCCTGACCAACTTGGAGAAACTCTGTCTCTACTAAAAATACAAAAAATTAGCTGGGTGTGGTGGCACATGCCTGTAATCTCAGCTACTCGGGAGGCTGAGGCAGAAGAATCACTTGAACCTGGGAGGCAAAGGTTGTGGTGAGCCAAGATTGTGCCATTGCACTCCAGCCTGGTCAACAAGAGCAAGACTCCGTCTCAAAAGAAAAAAAAAGGAAGCTGACTCTGCTGACAGGCACCCTTTCCCCTCCTCCTTTCTCCCACCTAGAATGTGGCCCCAATGGTTGGAGAGCTAATGGCCACCTTGTGATTACAAGGTGACCTTAGGGTGAAAGCCACTAGCAGAGACACTTGCCAGAGAAGGAAGCTAGGAGACACGGGAGTCTTTGATGCTACCTTGGAGTTGTGGCCCCAGTTCTGATCACCTCTGGATATCACAGTGCAAGAGAGAAAGATACGCCTCATCTTTGGTGTTTTGTTTTTGTTAAGCCTTAGCTTTTTGAGTCTTGGTTACCTGCTGCTGAAAGCTATCCATAATTGATAGTACTGGCTTGCCTGCCCTATCAGAGTATTAAAAACTTGATCTCCGAGCTGGTCAGAGCTATCTGCTCACCTCCCTTCTTACCAGGAGGGATTCCTCAGCCTGCAGCTATGTTCTCGCCCTCCTGTCTGTCTCCAGCTCCAATCTACTTCCCCACCTCAGGGTCTTCACTAGGATCCAAGACCCCATGTTCCTAGCTCCTTCTCATAGATAGCAGGCCCTGGATCTGCCTGCTTCTCCAGTGCCTAAACAGCCAGTCCGTTTGCCGATGCCCATAGCAGTACAGAGAGACTGGGGAGGAGATTTGTATATGACAGCTCTGGTGTGTTGGAAATGCAAGAATCTGCTCCTGAAACGTCTGTCCCTTCGTTTCATTGTGTGACCTTGGAAAATCATGGAAAATCTCCAAATCTCTCTTTGCCTTGGTTTCCTCATCTGTAGTGAGACATATTTGTAGTTAATTGCTTTTAAAGGCATCTGCCTGCCAGACACAGGTGACAAAATTTTATGGGTCCCTGAAGCAGTATCCTAGAGGGTCCGACTCCTGCACCTTCTTCTACTGAGTAAACAGTAAACGTCACTGTCTGTCTTTCCGCAAGGGTCTGATTAATAGAAAAATGATTTGTGAGACCGGTCTTAGGCAGTAGCAAATCTGCTGTACTTTGTGCTAAGAATTTGTCTCTCTGGTTCTGTAATGGAGAGAGGGGCATCGCAGGCTAGCATGTGGCTTTAGAACACCTATAAGCCCGCTTCTCAAGCCTGCCAGGCTGCTCAGTTACAAACTTTGCCGAGGGTCTCTGAAAACAATACTGGATGAAATTTCTGTCTTGTTTTGTGTCCTTAAGAGTTTAACCTCGTGACCATGTGGGGATCCTTTATCTTGGTTTTAACCATCAGGAGGACAGGAATTTGGGAGTTCATGTCATACATAGCCTAAAAATTATCTTGAGCAGTTAAAAGCCTTTGCAAGCTTGAAATCGGCTTCTCTAGGCTCCTTCCGAGAAGACCCAATAGAAACTGCTCATTGCTCTAACTCAGTAGCTAAGGCTTTGTTTTTGACAATGGCAGCCTGGGTTCTATTCTTTGCTTCTGCAATGACTCCTTTCTGGTTTTTTATTTATGTAATTTTGCCATTTATTGAGGGTCCCCCCCACACACCCTGCCCGTGGATAGCTTCTGATTTTCTATCTTGAATTTTCCTTTCCCTAAACTAACCTGGGGGAGCTTCTAAATCTTATTTAAAAAAAGAAAAGAAAGAAAGAAACTGCTTACCATCCCTTTGAGACACCTACCTATGTGTCCATGGTTAACATATAACCTTAGTTAAAACTGATTGATTTCAGTGGAAAGTCACCTGTGGTGGAATTCAGAAGCCAAAAATATTGGCCCCTTGATATGGCTAAAGTCACATAATAAAAAAATTTTAAAGGATTTTTTAAAGAGTGCTACGGTTACAAGTCAGCTTAATGTAAAGTGGGTAAACAAGCTATGGGTATAGGTTAAAGGCCTTTATGTTTTTCTCTTCTTGGAACTTGTTTTTCTAGATAAAGGTGTCTCCTCAGTTGACTGAATTATTTTTCTCCATTTTTTTTTTTTTGGCTTGCCACTCTTTATGCACACACATGAGAGGACTTAAGATAACTTCTGGTAGCCTGGGACTCATTGGGAAAAACAGAAGAGGCGCCACAGACCCCGTTTTTGCGGCGGCGGCCGTGGAGGGGTGGGGTGGGAATCCCTCTGTTTTCCTCGTGAAACCCCAGGAATTAAAAGTAGATGGAAAACTGTAAAGAGTTCTAAAGAGTTTATGAAACTCTTAACCTTATGGTCAAGCTAATTAAAACTGGATAAAGATATTAAATTTTATTTAAAAAACTACCTTTAACATTAAAGATGCACTATGCAAACATGGAATCTGGTTTCCTCTTTTGAAGATGATTTTTAGGTAATGTTGAATGATAACGAAAGGGGTTTGTTTCTTCTTTGGGTAAACGGCAGGGCAAAAAGGGAGGAGAAAGAGGCACCAAGGCGGTTGGTCTCATGCTGTCATTACTGAGTCTTGTTTGGAAAACTCAGTCTCCTCTATCAGAGTAAAGGTTTTCTTTTTTAAAAAAAATTTGGAGTTATCATTTCAGCCAAATGATTGACTTATGGTGACCTAGGATTCTATTTTGTGATATTCGGTGTTTTAAACCTTTGATATTTGACGCACTTTCCAAAATCAAATTATAAATTATGTCTCTTTCTAGCCTAATCTTTTAGATATTAGGTCCCCTAAAGTCCAAAAATGACATCTGGCTTATTTGGTTCAAAAATCACACAGGAAGCATTGTCAAATATGAAACGATCTTTGGCGTTCTTCGGTCTGTATTTGTGTAAATGTATTATTGGTATATGTTCCAAAATTATGTAAAACTGCTGTAATTCTGATATGAGTTAGGATGTGTTATCAGAATAATTATTATGTTAAATGGCTGTGTGCCACAGAGACAAATTTCCCTGTCAATTGTGGCTTTAACTGTGCTGCTGCCCTAAAATGTTTCTGTCACCCACAGACAATTGTCTCGATTTGGTCCTCTTTAAAAGATGATTTTATAATCAGCTATAAAATTTAACAGGTGCTGTTTTTTTGTTATTGTGTTTTTTGTGTTTTTTTTTTTTTTTTGAGACAGAGTTTCACTCTTGTTTCCCACACTGGAATGCAATGGTGCGATCTCGGCTCACTGCAACTGCCACCTCCCAGGTTCAAGCAATTCTCCTGCCTCAGCCTCCCGAGTAGCTGGGACTACAGGCACGCGCCACCACACCCGGGTAATTTTGCATTTTTAGTAGAGGCGGGGTTTCCGCACGTTGGTCAGGCTGTTTTCAAACTGCTGACCTCAGGTGATCTGCTTTCCTCGGCCTCCCAAAGTTCTGGGATTGCAGATGTGAGCCACCACACCTGGCCCAGGTGCTCTTACATGTGGGTTTCTGATTACTAACTCTGGGAGAGTGTGACATCAGGATAGAAAAAAAAAAAACTTTCAAATCGAAGAGTGAAAGGTGTTTGGTTTTCTTTGGATTGTATTTGTATAAATATGTTGTTGGTATGTGTTCCGAAATTGTGGGACACTTTTGCAATCTTGATATAATTTAGTATACATGATAAATCATTATAATTGTTATGTAAAATTGTTGAATGCCGCAGAAGTAACCGAAATTCCTAGTCGATTGTAGCTTTAATAGTGCCTAAAGACTTTTGCCACCCACATCTTGCTTTGGTCCTTTTCAAAAGGCAGTTTATAATCAGATATAGGACTCTGAGTGCAGGTCTCAGATAACTCTAAAAATTGTGCTATTGGAATAGAGAAAAAAAACCTTCTAGGACTCTCATGCACAGCTAATGTGTTAAACACTGCTACACCTTTTGTTTTCAGAGTCAAGAGAACTTAATTCTTTAGAGCTATTTGCAACTTTTAACAAGTGAGTAAAATATACTCCTGTGAACAAAATTTGGAGCGTATATTTTCCTGTCTATCTGATTTCTCCAGAATTTGGAAACTCTTTGTGTTCTCAATTTATGGCAGTGTAGCTAATTGCATAAGTGCAATGAGAATCTGTTTTCTTTTGTAACAGGATACAATTGGAGACACTGGTTGTTTTCCCAAGGCTTTGACTGGAATGGCGTGCTTCCTTAAAGCATCAAAGTTGAGGCCAGGTGCGGTGGCTCATGCCTGTGATACCAGCACTTTGGGAGGCCGAGGTGGACGGATCACGAGATCAGGAGTTTGAGACCAAGCCTGGCCAGCCCCGTCTCTACTAAAGATACAAAAAATTAGTCAGGCATGATGGCGCACACCTGTAATCCCAGTTACTTGGGAGGCTGAGGCAGGAGAAGTGCTTAAACCTGGGAGGTGGCGGCTGCAGTGAGCCCAGGTCGCCGCATTGCACTCCAGCCTGGGTGACGGGGCAAGACTCCATCTCAGAAAAAAAAAAAAGAATCAAAGGTGACTTATAGAGCCAATTAAAGCCCACTGGGGCATCTGGCCTCATACCTTATTACACAGAGACCCTGTACAAGGTTCCTGACCCACAGTTAAGTAAAGAATGTCACTTTCTAACATGCCCAGAAATCCCAAGTTATCTTGGGACCTCAAGAGGAGAGGAATTTGCCAAACTCACAGGTATCTGAGTGTACAAACTCATGGCTCGGTTCAGCTTTTAAAAGTCTTATCTGAAGCCGGGCGCTGTGGCTCACACCTATAATACCAGCACTTTGGGAGGCCAAGGCGGGTGGATCACGAGGTCAAGAGATCGAGACCCTCCAGGTCAACATAGTGAAACCCCGTCTCTACTAAAAATACAAAAATTAGCTGGGCATGGTGGTGCAGCCTGTAGTCCCAGCTACTTGGGAGGCTGAGGCAGGAGAACTGCTTGAACCCAGGAGGCGGAGGTTGCGGTGAGCCGAGTGCCATTGCACTCCAGCCTGGGTAACAAGAGTGAAACTCCGTCTCAAAAAAAAAAAAAAGTCTTATCTGAGATTCTCCATGGAACAGAGTTCTTCTATCAAAGCCAATTTAAAAGCCTAAGTGAAAAATAGTTATTCTTGCTGCATTTTATGCAAATAAGCCAAGTACAGTAAGACTAACGTTTATTGTGTAAACAAATCAATTCAATCCTGATTTGTTTTTCATAAAAATGGAGACTGGAGAGAGAAAAATTACGCTTCAAAAGAGAAATATAGTACAGTGTTGTTGTTAGCTGTTCTCGAGGATTTTTTTCCTGCAGTTTCGACGACATTCTAAATTCTTTGTGGGTTAGAAGTCCCCACACTAATGCTGCCAGATCTTCCGTTTTAAAATCGGGAATTGTACTTCTCATCCTAGGACTCGTTATTTACCTCACAGTAGGCTGTTCACTGTAACCCTGCAGTAAAACTATAGATGAGAACACGAATGCTTTTGCCTCCCAGCCTCGAAGCCCAGCCAGGCCTGCGTGAGTACACTGAGACAGTTGCAAAGCGGTTCCACTCTTCTCACCTTGGGGTTCACTCCCATTCCCACCATGTCCCCTGTCAGCAGGAAGAAGCCAGAGTGATCAAGGGCCTTTCCCCATCTTCACAGCCTACACCTTAAGATTAAGGTGTTCAAACCCCAACGGGAGGAATTGAAACCACTTTTGCAAAATTAGGATTGAGACAGTAAGAGAGACCTAAGGTAACTGAGTCCACCTTGCTTCTAATCTCCAACCTGTCTTTGTTCATTCCTGGGCATAGGGTAACTTTGGGAGAAACTTAGTTTATAGTATATAGTTTATTTATTTATTTTATTTTATTATTATTTTTTTTGAGACGGAGTTTCGCTCTTGTTACCCAGGCTGGAGTGCAATGGCGCAATCTCGGCTCATCGCAACCTCCGCCTCCTGGGTTCAGGCAATTCTCCTGCCTCAGCCTCCTGAGTAGATGGGATTACAGGCACACATCACCATGCCCAGCTAATTTTTTGTATTTTTAGTAGAGATGGGGTTTCACCATGTTGACCAGGATGGTCTCGATCTCTTGACCTTGTGATCCACCCGCCTCGGCCTCCCAAAGTGCTAAGATTACAGGCGTGAGCCACAACAAAGACGGCAATAGCCCTTTCCCAAAGCTGACCTCCTTCTTGCCTGGGACTAGATTGCCTTTGTGAGACTAACTTTAGCCATAAGATTAGAAATTATGTTTTAGGATTTAGGCAGCTGGAGGCTACAAGATTCTGACCCTCCCTAAACTCCTCCTAAGATCAGAGCTTCAGATATTTTGCAGACCCTGCACTTGATGGATCAGCTGGCATCATCCAGATCAATAAATTGGCTCCTCTGCTCTTGTGGCCCCCACCCAAGAACTGACTCAGTGCAAGAAGACAGCTTTGACTCCCTATGATTTCACCCCGATCAATCAGCACTCCTGGACCACTGCCTCCCCCAGCCCACCAAGTTATCCTTAAAAACTCTGCTCCCCAAATGCTCAGGGAGACTGATTTGAGTAATAATAAAACTTTGGTCTCCCAAATGGCTGGCTCTGTGTGAATTACTCTCTCTCTATTGCAATTCCCCTGTCTTGATGAATTGGCTCTGTCTCGGCAGCAGGCAAGGTGAACCCTTGGGCGGTTACATCGGGGGCAGCAGGGGACTTGGGAGTCAGGCTTCTGGTTTGCCTCTGCCTCCAAGACCTTGGCCAAATCCTTTCTCTTCTCTGAACCTCAGTTTCCTTTTCTAAAACAGGAAAGTGTTTCACCCCAGATCATGCTGCCTATAACCAAACCTGGGGTGGAGAGAAAAGCTGGGTTTCACAGACACAGCAGATGGAAGGGTTAGGAAAGGAGCAGGCTCAGGTGGTGGCTTGGACTCTTGAGTGTGTCAATCACTCACCTGGGTCTTCATCACCCTTGTGCATGTATCCTCCTTCCCCATTGTAGGTCTGCAGCCTGGACCAGGCTTCTCACTCCCGATCAAAGACACAGGTAGCCCAGGAAACTCCCCAGGAAAGGGGTCCACAACCCAGGTCCTCCCTCAGCTCCCTCCTCCATCACCCAGAAGCCACCTCGATAAAGCTGACATGTGGGGCACTCGCCCTGGGCACTGCTCAGGGATGCTGGATCACTTCTTCCTCCACCCCTGACCTCCTGCCCCTTCCAGATCAGAGCAGAGCATCAGGAGGGCTACCTGGCTCAGCACCCAGCTCCCCAGCCCCCTTCCCAGCCCCTCTGCCCCCACTCACCTCACTGATGTGTTTACTTAAGGCTGAATTCTATATCTGAAAGTTCATTAATTTTTTGTGGGTGCCAAAATGCGGATCATTTGTGCTTATCCTCAACTAAATAAGTCAGGTCATAAGAGGTAATGCCATGGGTAGTGGAATGTAAACAAACACATTCTACCTCAATAAACATGCTAATTTCCAGCTATAATATTCACAAGTAAAAGATCTATCACGCCGACCCTATTTGGCAAAGGCAGCCGGCCTCATCCGTCAACGAGGGAGGCTCCCGCCAGTTCGCTGCAGGAGGGAAATAGTACAACTTAACTTGCTTGATGACGCCCTCGGGGAGAAACATGAGCCTCATAAATGAGTCTGGAAATGTGATAAAAGGATAATCTTGCATAAATGAGCCTACATCATCATTACCTGCACCGACCAAGGCCAGGCACTAGGTTTTGAGTGATGTAGTCACATTTCATATAAATGAAGGCTGTGGAGTCGGTTCGCCAGCGGGAGCCCTTTGTCCTGCTACGTCCCACTGGTCACCCTAGCCTGAGGCTTCCATGCAGGATTCTGTGGGGCCAGGAGAAGGCTTCAGCCCTAGCTGGGCTGAGGCTGGCAGTGTTACCACAGAGGGCAGAGACAGCCCAGACCCTACAAGAACATGAGTGCAGCCCTTGATGAATGGGTGACATCAGAGAGGGTCTTTCCCCAGTCCAATCCATAGAAAAACTAAGGAATCTATTATTTATTTACTCAGTAAAATGTACTGGACACCTATTGTAAGCCAAGGCACCGAGCGACATACTTGGAACACACCCACCCCACCGCCAAAAAAAATATGAAGTTCTTGTTTTAATAGTCCCCAGTCAGCTCAGGGAGGCAGCGCACGTCCTCGCATCCGGGTGGGTCTGTGCCTTCTAAGGGCAGAAGGCGCTGAGCAAAGGGTGCTGTGGTGTGCACGTGTGTTCCCCCAGATTTAATATATTGAAATCCTAAGCCTCAAGATGAGGGCATCAGGAGGTGGGACCTTTAGGGGGTCATGAAGATAGAGCTCTCTTTAATGGAATTTTAGTGTCTCATAAAACAGGCCCAAGGGAGACCCCTTTCCCCTTCCTTCATATGAGGTTACAGTGAGAAGACAGCTGTCTGCAAGGAAGCTGGTCCTCGCCAGGTGCCAAATCTCCTAGTGCAGATTTGGACTTCCCAGCCTCCAGAAGAGACACGGACTTCTGCTGTTTATGAGCTACCCTGTCTGTGGTATTTTGTTACCACAGCCCAAGCCAACTAAGACATAGGGAAAGACGTGCTAGGCCTGGGGCGGGGGGCAGGGAGGGGTAAATGATGGCAGGACACTCTGGGTGCTGAGTGGGGAAGGGTCAGTCTCCTTCCATGCTGTCCTCTGTCAGACCTGCACCCATCTATCTCCCTAAAGCCCATTCAGTCCTCCTTCCCTGGACAGTGGCCCTGCCCCACCCACAGCTGTGTGACTTCTGCTGTGTTCCTTGGTCCTTCTCAGTATTTTCAACAAAAGACGGAAAGATGGGGACACATTCATAGAACCTTGTATACAGCTCAGCAAAAAGCTGGTGGAGTTCTAGATGCTCCTTCCTAATCTTCCCTGACCCCCACCCCCACAGTGGATGCTGTGGGTGCCCCACCCAAGCCCCTTACACATGACATGTCTGGGTCCCCCATCTCTCCACTGCTGTGAGTGTTGGTTGCTAAAGTTCATGACCACCCTTTTCTACAGAAAACTGCCTTTGGCCGAAGAGAAGCCACCTCACCTGTAAAGGTACCCCTCAAGGTGAATGACATGGGAAGAGTGTTCAAGGCAGAGGGAAATCATGTCTTTTAATTTCCAAAGCACTTATATAGCTCACTTCACAGCAAGTAGAATCAAGGATGTCAAACGAAAAGAATGTCCTTTAGAAGCCCCCAGACCCGGGCCGGGCGCGGTGGCTCAAGCCTGTAATCCCAGCACTTTGGGAGGCCGAGGCGGGTGGATCACGAGGTCAACAGATCGAGACCATCCTGGTCAACATGGTGAAACCCCGTCTCTACTAAAAATTACAAAAAATTAGCTGGGCATCGTGGTGCGTGCCTGTAATCCCAGCTACTTGGGAGGCTGAGGCAGGAGAATTGCCTGAACCCAGGGGGCGGAGGTTGCGGTGAGCCGAGATTGCGCCATTGCACTCCAGCCTGGGTAACAAGAGCGAAACTCCGTCTCAAAAAAAAAAAAAAAAGAAGCCCCCAGACCCACCTCCAGGGGTGAAGGGTGGCCAGGCTCTCCCATAGTAAATGCTTATTTCAGAAAGGAAGTAAAATGTGTAAGTGGGTGAGCAAAATAAGTCATCTCTCCAGCTGACAACATTCGTCCATCCTCTTGTTTCCCCTGGTGCCTGTACCCTCATTAAACCAGAAAACCCTTTGCAACAGGGACTGTGGTCATCAGGGAGTCTGTGAGACCTAGCTCTGCTCTCCAATGATGCTCAGTGGCTATTCGATGCATGTCCTTGAACTGTCAACTTGAGAGGAGAAGGAGGGGATCATCAAGAGCAGAGAGGATTTGGGTGTATAAAGAAGACCTTCGTTCATTCATTCACCAAATAACATTGTGATGAGAAAGTAGAATCTGTGACCAAGAAATGAGGAAGAGAGAAAACTAGTGCACATCCACTGTAGGCAGAAATTGTATTAGATGCGTTCATAGGGGGCCGCTGAGACCGCCAAATAACCTGGAGGTGGGGATTACTATTGCCATTTGCAGATGAAGAAAGGGGTGGAGACAGCAGTGCAACTGACGTCCAGGTGTATCTAGGTTCAGAGTCTCCGGTCTTTTCATCCTTTCTCCCTTCCTTCATCCCACTGGGAGGATATTTTTAAAACAGAGTTGCAGAGACCTGAAATAGATTAACCGGATCTTTACAAAAGCAAAAGATGGAAGGGAAGACCTCTGGGTGTCCTTTTCAGCAAAGAATCCTCTGATTCAGGCCACCTAGGCCCCTGAAGGGTGCTCAGAGGAGCCCTCCTGAGGTACGTCTGAAACCACGCCTCCACCAACAAGGGCGCTGTGCTCCTAGGGATTGAATGATTCAGAATCTGTTGTAGGGTTAATTTTCTGAAGGAAAAAAGAGGTATAAACACTGCAGGAGGACTGGGCTGATGAGCTCATTGGAAACCTGAGCAGCAGAAGTCTTAGTCAAAAATGCTGGCTGAGAAATTGCCGGTCCCTGCCAAGCCTGGCGAATGGAAGTTTGCACATTCCCAGGCTGCGTGTTTCAAATACTTTCCGTGGTTTTGCCAGTGGAGGGTGAGGAGGGAAGAATTTGTCATTATCGACTTGGGTCTGCAAAACAGCTTGGCTGGCAGGGAGCTGAAATCGCAGGAGGTGGAAAACCTGACTCATGATCTTCGGGGACTTGGGAATGTGGGTTGTGGGGGAGATGGGAGGAGGGCGAGAGGCAGGCAGCCAGGGAAGAGGTGGTTCTTTTGACTCAGAATGCATTCTTGTCGGCTAACCTTGGCCACTGCCTCCACTCCCTCTGGTGTGAAAGCCCCGTGCAGTTTCCCAAACGTTCTTCATAGGCGCACACATTTGTTGAGCACATGCTAAGTGCTTTCCATGCATCCTGCTGAATATCTGATACAACAATCCAAGAGAGTTGGCAGAGTGGGCATTTGTACCCATTTTTGTTTTTCTTTTTTTCGTTTTTGAGACAGAGTCTGGCTCAGTTGTCCAGGCTAGAAGGCAGTGGTGCGATCTCAGCTCACTGCAACCTCCGCCTCCGGGGTTCAAGCGATTCTCCTGCCTCAGCCTCCCGAGTAGCTGGGATTACAGGCACATACCACCATGTCCAGCTAATTTTTGCATTTTTGGTAGAGACGGGGTTTCACCATGTTGGCCAGGCTGGTCTCGAACTCCTGACTTCAAGTGATCTGCCTGCCTCAGCCTCCCAAAGTGCTGGAATTACAGGTGTGAGCCAAGACACCTGACCCTGCACCCATTTTTCAAAGGAGGGAACAGTTAAGAAGGTGTAGGAACTGCCCCATCGCACACACAACTGGCCAAGACATCAGTTCGTCTGCGCGTCGACTGCCTACCTTGTGCTGACACTGGGTCAAGAACTGGAGTGGAAACGTGGAGACGACAAGGCCCTTTTCAGAGAAGGGCTCAAAGGTTCACAGATTCAAATCGTTTGGTGTTTTTTTTTTTTTTTTTTTTCCCAAGACATGTATATGTGCTGCCAACGTGCTGCTACTAAGCCACCTGCGGGGGGATGAACAAGGCAGATGCGGACCCAGACGACATGGGGGAGAGGAGATAAGAAGAGAAACACCATGGCAGGAGGAGCCCTACTGATGAGCAGGGGACTTGGCTTCTCAGTGTGGCCTGTTGCTCACTGGTGGTGTGACCCAGGACACGCCGCTGGTGGCCCTGCAGGTCTCTGAGTGTGTAGGAGCGCACTCTCCATGGCAGCTTCCCTTTGGAAGCACTGTTACCTACGCACAGCTGCCCTCTTGCCCACGGCAAGCCCCTACCACTCTCTGCTTGAATACCTTTCCTGGCTGCAGGAGGAGGCTGCCCCAAGGTGGAGCTGGCCAGAAACGCTGGGAAGTTTGTGCTCCCCAGAGCAACCCTCAACAAAAGACAGGAGTTGGGGGCTGAAGACCCCAGCCTCCTGTCCCTCAGACAGGAAGATTTCGAAGACACGTGTTTCACGTGTCCCGGGACTCCCTGGAGGCATGGGCCCCAGCTGCCGATGGTGGCACCTGCTCCTAACCACCCTGCGTTCTCACCCCCAAATGAACTCCATGCACTCAGATCCTTGTTTCAGGTTCTTGGGGAGCAGAACTCATTTGGGGAGCCAAGTCATTTGTCTGAAATGGGGAGTCCAGTCCGGAAGGGGCTTCAGCTGTCTCTGGCTCCCACCCCATGATTGTCTAGAAAGAGCGAGGGAGGCCCAGAACGGAGAAGTTGCCAACTCCCTTGGTGTGACTCTCCCGACCCTGTCCCCAGGCCTCCAGGAAAGCAGCACTGAGCCCCACTGCCCCTACCTCCAGCCAAGAGCAAGGGTCAGGGCAGGTGCCCAGGGTACAGGAGAGCACAGATTGTGGAGTACCGACGTGGGGTGCTCTGGGCTCTCAGTCCCCTGGCGACCCCTACCCAAAGCCTAACTAGCCCCTCAGATGCCCCAAGGAGAGGGGCTTTGGAGGGAACCGCAGAGGAGGGCAGGAAGCCAGTGGGGCTTGAGGGCCAAAGAACCCTCACTTGGCCTGGCTGCCCCCTGACTCCCCCTGCCCCACTCCTGCCACGCACATCACATACCAGGGCTAAGCCACCAATTGCCCTCTGCTCTCCTGCCTATGCCATTCCCTCTAGCTGGGGTGTGCTCCCGCCCCTCCCTCACAAACTCCTTCAAAAAGGAACTCCAGCCCAGCGCAGTGGCTCACGCCTGTAATCCCAGCACTTTGAGAGGTCAAGGCGGTTGAATCACAAGGTCAGGAGTTCGAGACCAGCCCGGCCAACATGGTGAAACCCCGTCTCTACTAAAAATACAAAAATTAGCCAGACGTGGTAGCAGGTGACTGTAATCCCAGCTACTCAGGAGGCTGAGGCAGGAGAATTGCTTGAATCTGGGAGTTGGAGGTTGCAGTGAGCTGAGACCATGCCATGGCACTCTAGCCTGAATGACAGAGTGAGACTCCACCTCAAAAAAAAAGAAAGAAAAAGGAAGGAAGGAAGGAAGGAAGGGAGGGAGGGAGGGAGGGAGGAAGGAAGGAGGAAGGAAGGAAGGAAGGAAGGAAGGAAGGAAGGAAGGAAGGAAGGAAGGAAGGAAGGGAAGGAAGGGAAGGAAGGAAAGGAAGGAAAGGAAGGAAAGGAAAGGAAAGGAAAGGAAAGGAAAGGAAACCCCTGGCCAAGTGGGGAGAAGCTGGGTTCTGTCTGGGAATCCAGGTTCTAGTTCCCCTCTGCTACTTCCAGGCTGTGTAACCCTGGGAACCTCACCTGTGTGGGCCTCGGTTTCCTCATCCCCGAAGTGAAGAAGACAGGCTTTCCCTCCCAGGATCAAAGGTGATGACCTAGATTGTAGCTTTGTATGGTCAAACACAGATTTTATCATCAGGAGGCCCAGAAGGACATGCGACATTTTATGCCGTCTTGAACAGGGACTTCTTGGAGGCAGCAGGCCCCAGGCTGTGGAATACACGCGGCTGCCTCTCGGTTGTCTTTCTTCTCAGGGTTTCAGACCCTGAGTGCTCACGAGGCACCTCCTTGCCCCAGCCTTCATTACCCAGCCAGCTGGGCCCTCATACAGTCATTGTTCCTCTTCCCTGGGTGTGGAGCTGCCACACACCAGCATGGAAAATTCCTCCTTTCCCTGCTCTGCAGTCAAACCCCAGCCAAACCCCAGTCCCATCCTGGGACGGCGGACCCCTAAAGGGAAATAGAGGCAGAGTGTTCTGGCTCCAGGAATCAGCTAATGGAACTGTGTTCATTACTATGTAAATTACTTTAATAGCCTGGCTCCCCCTCAGACAATTATTTAGGGGCTTGAGGCCTGGACTGGAGAGCCAGAGGGAGATGGGGGTCTCCGCTCAGGGAGGGATGCAGCATTTCCTTGGCCCAAGAGCTCCCTT